GAGACAGAGTTTTGCTCTTGTTGCCCAGGCTGGAGTGCAATGGCGTGATCTCGGCTTACTGCAACCTCTGCCTCCCAGGTTCAATCGATTCTCCTGCCTCAGCCTCCTGAATAGCTGGAATTACAGGCATGCGCCACTATGCCTGGCTAATTTTGTACTTTTATTAGAGACAGGGTTTCACCATGTTGGCCAGGCTGGTCTCAAAATCTGATCTCAGGCGATCTGCCCGCCTCAGCCTTCCAAAGTGCTGGGGTTGCAGGCGTGAGCCACTGCGCCCAGCCCTACTATGAGTTATTTTCATTACCATTAGATCCTAGATATACGCTAGGATGGGTTTTTTTAAAATTTCCAGGTGGTAGGGTTTCTCAAAAAAAAGATTCCATTATTAATTTCTAGTTTTTGCATTGTGATCAGATGATGTTGTCTGTTTTATTTACATGTCTTGGAATTTATTCAGGTCTTCCTTGACATCAATTTTGTAAAAATTTAAAAGGCACATGAAAACATGATATATTTTCTGTTCTCATGATACACAGTATATTTTCAGGCTATAGAATTTATTTCCATTAAATCTTCTATAAGTATTTTATTTAGGTTTTCTCTATCCCTACTTTTTTTTTGTTTTTATTCATTTAAATGGCTATCATAGACTTAGAGAAGTAAATTAAATTTTATGTGTTTATGTTCTTCCTTATAATTCCTATAATTTTATACTAAAACTGTTAAAGACATAATATATAGCAAAAACAAAGTGATATACCAATAATTTCTAAATGTTGGAAAACAGAATTCATCAACATATTAAATTAACATACCATGACCAAATAGGGTTTATTCCAGAAATGAAATGATGACTTAATTTTATAAAATCTATTATTATAATTAAATATATTAATAGTTCAAAAGGGAAAATATGATTATCTCCATAAAGTCTGAAAAAGCATATAATTCAATTGAATATCCATTGATTTTAACAAATTCTGAAACAGGGACAGAAAAACACACTGTAAAAGTTTCAGTCTAAACCTAAAAGCCAATACCACATTTAATGAGGAAACAATATAATATCAAGATATTATATAACTTCCAAAGGCTTACTACTATTTAGATTTTAGATTATTTTATTTTTATTTATTTATTTATTTTGAGACGGAGTTTCGCTCTTGTTGCCCAGGCTGAAGTGCAATGGCACCATCACGGCTCACCGCAACATCCACCTCCGGGGTTCAAGTGATTCTGATGCCTCAGCCTCCTGACTAGCTGTGATTACAGGCATGTGCCACCATGCCTGGTTAATTTTGCATTTTCAGTAGAGACAGGGTTTTTCCATGTTGGTCAGGCTGGTTTCGAACTCCTGACCTCAGGTAATCTGCCTGCCTCGGCCTCCCAAAGTGCTGGGATTACAGGCATGAGCCACTGCACCCAGCCTATTTAGATAATTTTATAACAAAATATTAGCAGTATCTGATATCTTGATTGTGATTTGGAAGACTAGCCTACATTCAGTTAAACTTAAAGCTTGATTAAATTAGACATTAAATTTAGTGATCTAAGATCAATAATGTTATGTCGAACAATAATAAAATATTTAATGCTATGCTTTCATATAAAGCAAAGTAAAAAATATTCTTATTCTAAATAGTGTGTTACGGAGTCAATACTGATACAGTGGGGAAAAATCAGTTCTTAGAGGATCATTTGGGCCAGGGGTGGTGGCTCACACCTGTAATCCTTTGGGAGGCCGAGATGGGCAGATCACTTGAGGTCAGGAGATTGAAACCAATCTGGCCAATATGGTGAAACTCTATCTCTACCAAAAAATACAAAAATTTAGCCAGGTGTTGTGGTGAATGCCTGTATTCTCAGCCACTCAGGAGGCTGGGGTGGGGAAATTGCTTGAACTCAGGAGGCAGAGGTTGCAATGAGCCAAGATGATGTCACTGCACTCCAGCCTGGGAGACACAGTGAGACCCTGTCTCAGAAAAACAACAAAAAAAAAACATTTGACTGGTTATCAAGTACTGCAGTGGCACAAATTTCTAGTGATGAAAGACTTGTTTATTTAGATTCTAAGCTCCTTTCAAACTGTGTTACCAAACTTTCAGTTCCCACTGTACCTGCTTGTTTCAGCAAATTCCAGATCTCATTGCATTTATGGATCTCCTCAAGCGCACGGCTCAGGAACATGGTCTGTTTGGCAACAATGCAACAAAATAATTAGTCTCAACAGAAAAGAACTGTAAGCAAATTAATATAATCTCATATTATTTTCATTAAAAACAGTTAAAAAAATCATAGAAAAATGATAGTTTAAACTGAACATTTTGGAGTTTATATAGAAATATTAGCCTCTATTTGCCCCTTTCCTTATTGTCCCAGAAAAATGAGGATTAAATAGAAAATTTTCAGCATTACCAATTTCTTTAACAATCTAGAACAGAAGAGAAAACATTTCTAGAATGGTGGTGTGAGGAGCTCCAAGGGTCTTCTCCTCAGCAAAACAATCACCATAACTAGTGAAAATTAGAAAACATAATAATGGAAGGGGGTTTCATCCAAGATGGCCGTTTAGGAACAGCTCAGGATTGCAGCTCCCAGTGAAAGTGCAGAGGGTGAGTGGACGCCGTGTTTTTATTGCCCACAGACTAGGAAATTCCCGGGCAGAGGTGCTCCACGGTCACCAGCGCGGCTGTTTCGGCCAGCGCGGCTGTGCCGGCCAGCGCCGGCCAGCGCCGCTGCTTTGCCCCGCGCGGCTGCTTTGTCG